TTGAAACTACCAGCCGTTCCTCAGGAGAACGATGAGGCTTTCTGCTCCTGTAAAGATTTACAGCCCCATAAACCCTATGCAGGGTCACTATGATTCGGAACCAACTCCATTTTACATCACCACCACCACCAGAAGTCTAGCCTTGAGAAAAACATCAGAAAAACTTAAATGGAGGGACAAAGTGCGTGATCTCCTCGAAAGTCAAAGTTGCTGAACCTGTTTGGTCCTGCAAAGAAGAACACAGGACAGCACCACTGTCTTCCTGGGGCATCATGACATCTAAGTTGTGAACAAGATGTTGAAAATACAAGAGCTTGGCTTCCCAGTGGTTAGGTAACAGGTGCTTAGTAGTAATAGTGCATGCATTGATAATAATTATGATCTTCTCCATGACTATTATTACCTGGTGTGTCACTGTATGATCAGCACTGGATTGGAAACAAAAGGTTGGAAGTTCAAACCCACCGGCTGCTCCTCAGAAACCTTATAAAGGTTCGCAATGAGTTGGAACCAACTTGACAGCATTATTATTACCTTCAGTATTCCAATTAAAATGGGAACTCTATGTGAACAAAGGAGCTCTGGTAGCGTAGTGGTTATGAATCAGGCTACTAATCTCATGGTCAGCAGTTCGAAACTACCAGCTGTTCTGTTGGAGAAAGATGAGGCTTTCTGCTCCCATAAAGATTTACAGCCTCGGAAACCTTGTACAGGGTCACGATGAGTCGGAACCGACTCCACAGCACATCACAACAACAACAATGTGAAGAGGGAATTCCAACGTCGGCAGTATTTTGATTCACCAATTCATCAGTGGCTGGCATGTGGTGGATACTTACAAACTGCACTTTGGTTACATGAGTCCTGTATTTTGAGCTATGGTGTGGGCCTAAAGTCCAACTATTATATATCTATCTATATCTATGTAGTTCTATCTGTTGATACCGTGGTGGCTGGTGTGTTGCTGGAGGCTATGCTACCGGTATTTCAAATACTAAGATGGTGGACAGGGATCTCCATGGAGCTTCTAGTCTGAGACAGATTAGGTAGAAAGACCTAGAGATCAATTTCCTATGGATCACAATAGAACACTTTCTGATATGTTATTATTGTTGTTACGTGCCATCAAATCACTTCCAACTCACAGTGACCCTGTATGGGGTTTCTCTGCAGGAGTAGAAAGTCTCATGTTTCTTCTGCAGAGTAGCTATTGGGTTCCAACCAAAGACCTTGTGATTCACAGCTCAGGGCTTCTCCTACAGAGCTACTACATTCCATTTGCTGAGAGAGTGCTGGAAAATGAAGACGTTAGGTTGGAATGCACTCAAAATACACTCTGGCTGTCACAACAGATAGGGCGTAGCAACAGTGATGAAGCTGGCATAGGACCAGGCTGCATTCTGTCTGTCATACTCGGAGTTACCATGAGGCAGAGTCAACTCAATGCAAGGGCAACTAACAGAGATAGCAAATGATGGGGGTAGGTCAGAAATGATCTGCACTCTGGCTGTAGAATTTATTTTAACCAACTTCTAGAAGAGACAAACACATCATTTTTCAACATAGTCTCCTTGCTTTTCAGTACGCTTTGTCCATCTGTCTACAAGCTTCCATATTCCCTTATTAAAAAATGTTTTAGGCTGAGCTGCGAGCCATAAATGCACTGCTGTCTTCACTTCTTCATCAGAGGTGAATCTTTATCCTCAAAGCGCTGCTTTCAGGGAACCAAACAGGTGAAAGTTCGAATGGAGCAAGATCAGGATTATAGGGAGGATGCTTTAACACCTCAGAATGAAGTTTTTTGCAGAGTGTCAACAGTGTGGGCAGAGGTAAGTGTGTGGATGTGCATTGTCATGCAAGATCATAATGCCCTTGGATAGCAGTCCTCTGAGCTCTGGTAGCGTAGTGGTTACGAATCGGGCTGCGAACCTTAAGGTCAGCGTTTCGAAACTACCAGCCGCTCCGCGGGAGAAAGATGAGGCTTTCTACTCCCGTAAAGATTTAC